GGTGCAGAGAGTGCGAGATGGACACAGTGGCTGGGGGTTGGGCATTCTCCTGGGCGGTAGGAGACCAAGGCTGAGAAAGCTTTGCAGCAGAATAGCGCATGGCCCGGTCACCTGAGAGGTGGGAGACTCAAGTTCAAATTCTATCCACAACAAGGATCAGAGGGGATTGAACTAGGGTTTCCAACATCCCAGGTGATCACCCCTAAGCATTGGGCTAAAGGAGACCCCCACCGCTACCCAGCTTGTGAATTCAGTCCTTTAAAAATGCCAGAAATATTTTTGTTGGACTCTAAATGGATTTTTTTTCCCCAGTTGCTGAGTTTTTTGGCAGTTTTCCTGATTTGGTTTGCTAAATGAATTTTCTAACCAAAATGTTGTAGCCACCCGCAAACTGAAAAGTCAGTTGTCCCCCTCTGCTCTGCTTGGCACAGACACGAGGAAACTTGCCAAGGGAACTCAACACAGTCACTAGTTTAAGGTTGGTGTCTGATTGTCAGAAGTCCGGTCTCCCGTCCTCGGCCCTGGCTGCTCGATCTAAGGCCGTGTCCAGACTCAGGGGTTTTTTCGGGAAAAGTAGCCTTTTCCCGAAAAAACTTCCCCTGCGTCCAGACTCAAGCCGCGTTCTTTCGAAATTATTTCGAAAGAACGCGGCTTTTCTTTCGATGGCGGTAAACCTCATTTCACGAGGTAGAACGCCTTCTTTCGAAAGCTCCTCTTTCGAAAGAAGGCGTTCTTCAATGTAAAGAGGCCGTCTTCGAAAGAGAGCATCCAGACTCGCTGGGTGCTCTCTTTCGAAAAAGCGGATTTCTCTTTCGAAAGATCCGCCTGCAGTCTAGACGCGATCTTTCGAAAGAGCCTCTTTCGAAAGAAGCCTGCAGTCTAGACATAGCCTAAGTGACTCCCTCCTGTGATACTTACTTGGTCTCCTTTCTGCCCCACCATTCCCGGAAGGCCCTGCAATACAGCCAAGGAACATTTCCAACAGGTTATAAATGTTGCAGTCATTTAATTACAGGGTCCCAAAGGGGCCACACTGTACGGCAGGGGTCACAGCCCCCCCTGCCAAAGTCCCACAGCCGTGCTGTGGAGAGGCCTAGGCGAGAGAGGCCCCCTCCAGCTGCTGGTGTCTCGGCCAAACCTGCCCCCAACGGGTTAAACGTGGTGAGGATTTTAACAACATGAAAACTCATCCAGCAGGGAGTGGCATGAGATCCTCAGCCCCTGGCACACTGGCTACCCGTCAGCCATCAGAAGGGAACAACAATTAGCATGAACTGATCTGAATAGGGCAGCGGACCCCGAACTGTGGGGCACGCTCCCCAGGGGCAGGAGAGGAACGTTGGAGGCAGGGAGCACCACTCAACTCAGCCCCCAGTTCTGCTCCAGCCCCACCCCCAACTGCTGCCCTGGCTCCTGCCCCACCTTGTCCCAGGCACCTACCTGCAGGCCCACGTCCACAGCCCGGTCTCACTCCTGACCCCAGCCCTGCTCCTAGCCCCACCCCTAAACCTGACCCCTTTATCAACCCATCCTCCTCCTTCCCCCAACTCTGGGAGCCACAGCCCTGCTCCCAGCCTGGCTCCTGGGGGGGAGGGTGTGGTGTGGACAGAAGTAAGGGGGGCACAGCCCTGACAAGAGTAGGGACCTCTGGACTAGGGCAGCCTAGAAGCGCTACACTCCATGTCCCCACCACCAGACTTTTCCACACCACCATCCCGTAGCTCTTCTTCGGGGCCCTCTGTGCTACACTTCATGTCCTCACCACCAGACTTTTCCACACCGCCCTCCCGTAGCTCTTCTTCGGGGCCCTCTGGCCAGAATCAGGCCCACATACAACGCTCCCTAGACGGTCTGTTCTCAGGAGATTTCCCTGAAAGACGTTTGAACACAAGAGCAGACGGCACCCCTGAGGGCCGTCAGTGTGAGAGAGAGACCTGCCGGTCACTAGAAACCCTAAATCAAATGCTAACGAGACACTCAAATCGGCAATTCCAGCAGGCTGAACGGGGATGGGGCAAAACTTGAACCCGAATGCAGCCCTTGTAGACTCACAGGAATGAAGAGCCTCATTCTCATTAACACCATGTTTCTTTCACACCGTTCTGGCAGGCAAGTGGCCCAATTTAATGCCTCTTTGCCCGGAGGGGCAGAGTGGGGTATTCATATCAACAAGAGCCGGAGCCGGTGTCTCTGGCACCAGAGATGCCAAAGAGACTACACTGTTCACCAGAGCCTTGGCCAGTAGCTCTGAAGGCACTACAGTGTCTGGAAGGGGTGGGCGCTGTCATGGTCTCATCCCAAAATGCTCCCATTTGTTACATGCAGGGTCATTCGGACAGCAGCTTGTCAAACAACTCGAGTGGCTTACAGCAATTCCTTGAGGTCCCTTCAGCCCCGTTTCTCCAGGTTCCCCCTGCAAGCGAGAGAAAATATACCGAGGTATTAGGTGCATAGGAGTTGCCAGAGCAGCCCAATGGTCCATGTAGTTCCATGTCTGATCCTGGAAACTGCAGAGGAAGGAACTGCCTCTCTGTGCCACCATACTGTTTCACCAGGAGAGATACCTTCCTGTCCCCAGCTGGTAATGAGTGCGGGCCCTGAAGCATGCAGGTTGGTAGCCTATTTTTCTCCTAGCGACTGGAAGTCTGCAAATGCTAACAAAAATGACCAATTTCATTTTGATCCTGGCTTTAATAAGGAAACGAAAGTGCAAAGGAACGTGTCTTGGGGAACCTATAAACTAACAAATACGCACGGGAAACATTCCTCAAAAGAAAACTGAGCACACGGTCAGCAAGCTGAGACAACTCAGACATGGGGCTCAGTTCTGCTGCCGACCGCAGTGGTTTTAGATCAGTGTAACGCCACCCACTTTATCTTTGCTCGATGCCAGTGTTATCATTAATCTATACCATACTACCTCCTCTCCTGTCCAAGTGTCATTTATTTCTATCAGTTCATAGAATCATAGAATCATAGGACTGGAAGGGACCTCGAGAGTTCATCGAGTCCAGCCCCCCGCCCTCAAGGCAGGACCAAGCTCCGTCTACACCATCCCTGACAGATGTCTATCTAACCTGTTCTTAAATATCTCCAGAGAGGGAGATTCCACCACCTCCCTTGGCAATTTATTTCAATATTTGACCACCCTGACAGTTAGGAATTTTTTCCTAATGTCCAATCTAAACCTCCCCTGCTGCACTTTAAGCCCATTACTCCTTGTCCTGTCCTCAGAAACCAAGAGGAACAAATTTTCTCCTTCCTCCTTGTGACACCCCTCTCACCTTCTCCCCTTTGACTCCTGCGTGGCCTTTTTTACCCTGGAAAACAAAAGGTGCTTTTGTTAAGGCAAAGATCCATTTGCAAAGAAATTCCAATCAACAAACATAAAAAGGCCGGCACTTAGCAAGAGAATGAGCTTTGGATATTCCGGTGCCAGGAGTTTGCAAAGCAAGAGGGAAATCTATCTTCATTTTAAAAAATCAAAGGGCTTTGCCTTCGCATATTGCGCTTCAGCTGAGGGTTTCAGAGAAGACAAATAATAATTAATTCTCACAGTGTTTTGTGTATTACGGTAACACCAGCTGAGGTTGGGGTCCCATTTTACTTGGGTCGTTTAGGCTCTACATTCACTGACTTTTTAAAACTTTGATTAGGATTCCCTACCCTGGGGCCAACCCGTCCTTCTTGTCCAGGCAATCCTTGTTCACCCTAAAGAAAAGAGAATGGATGTTATTTCTTGACCAGAAAGAGTCACAGTAAGAGCTTAAACAAAATACAGGACTATGTAGCATTTTAAAGACTAACAAGATGGTTTATTAGATGATGAGCTTTCGTGGGCCAGACCCACTTCCTCAGATCAAATAGTGGAAGAAAATAGTCACAACCATATATACCAAAGGATACAATTAAAAAAATGAACACATATGAAAAGGACAAATCAAATTTCAGAACAGAAGGGGGATGCGGGGGAGAGGGGGGAAGGGGAGGTAAATGTCTGTGAGCTAATGATATTAGAGGTGATAATTGGGGAAGCTATCTTTGTAATGGGTAAGGTAATTAGCATCTTTGTTAAGACCCCGGCGTAAAGTGTCGAATTTTAGCATGAATAACAGAGCTTATTGAAACTGCCGTTAGTTATAGTTCTAGGGCCCCTTAGAGAAAACACTCCGGCTATTTTCTTAAATGTGCAATTGCACGTGCAAAAATGCACATATAAGTGCACACCCAGGCTATGTCTACACTGCAATAATCTATCGGAAAAAGGTACGCAAATTTGCGTACCTTTTTCCGATAGTTTTTCAAAAGAGGCTTTTCCGAAATGTGGCCCATCTACACTGGACCAAAGTTCAGAAAAACCTCTTTCAGAAGACCCCTTCTTCCTCATGGGAGGAAGAAGACAAGGCTTCTGAAAGAGCACATCTGCTCTTCCGCAAAAATAAGCGGAAGAGAAGACATGTTCCCTGGATGCGGTGGAATTTTTCCACCCAGAAAAACCCTGTAGTGTAGACATCGCCCCAAAGGCCAAGTTAGAACCCAACTGGCAGATGGCGGTGTGCATGGGTACATACATAATTCCTGTGCACTCTTATAAACATACAGAAGCATTTTTCCACATGCAGGCAGGGCACAGCCCACAATATTGCCTGGAGGGGGCAGTTCTTGGGAGAGCCAGCTCTCCATTCACTAGACGAGCCATACGGTCCATCTCCCAGAGTTAATGCTCTGCAGAATCCTCTCCGAGCAATAGCCACTGTGCTGGAAAGGCAGGGAAGAGAACCAGACTGCTGACTAGTGAGGTGTAGTATCCTGCCTCCAGCCGTGGCTGACATCTAATGCTTCCGGGGCAGGCAACTGCCTACTCAATCATGCATCTAGGTACTTGTTTAGTGCTCCCAGCTAGAGGCCGAGGGATCTTCCCAGCCCCTGGAGGTCAGGGAAGATCTCATGCCCTAGATTCAGTGTTCCCAGCTGGAGGCTGAGGGATCTTCCCAGCCCCTGGAGGTCAGGGAAGATCTCATGCCCTAGATTTGATTATCTTTCACTTACCTAAAACTGGCCACTCTCTGGGCCTTTTCCTTACATCAAGAAATCACAGTATTTGACTCACTGATCTTTGCCCCGCAGCGAAAGTCACACACATTTTCCTCCCCACCAGCAGCAGAAGCCTCGCCGTTTTCCCTGCATCACTTCCCCAACAGTCACTGCCCCCCACCTTTGTGAGGGGCCTCCGTCACATACACTTTGTATATGGCAGGTTGCAGACCTGCTTACCAGCAAGTCAGGGCTCTGTCCCTGGTATGGCCTGGGTACAGAGCTCCCTTCTCAGCGACACACACGCACCAGATGGGGTCACTACAAGACCCTTTCATGTATTGCCAGCAATGGCTGAGGTAGCTTTAAACAGATACATTGCCTAGAGGTACATGGTAAGATGCCTTTCTCGCCTCCACCGGGAACCTAGGAATTCCCAGGCGGGCTCAGAACACAGAGCACCAGATGCCCCAGGGGAAGGCATTCCCAGCTGATGTGAGGCAGATGTGGGCTAATCCGCCCCCCATGTGGGCAGCAGTAATGTAGGCAAGGGAAGTCATTGCCTTCCCAAAAATGCCTGCACTCCACGGCCACCAGGGACGGCTGGGAACGCAATGCAGCCCCAGTTCTCCCGGTGGCCAGGCAGGATGGTGTTGGGGTTGGGCAGGGCTTGGCTCTGCGGGGGGTGGCAAAGGTTGCTGAAGAGGCGGGGCCTCGTGTGGAAGGGGCGGGGCTGGGATTCTCCTTCCCCAACTGAGCCTCCACCTGCCACCCATGGGTCCCTCCCTTCAGACTCATCCTAATAGTCAGAGATTGGGTTAAGCCTTGAAGCATGAGTTTTAATCTCTTCCGAAACGGATGTGCGTTAGCGTTAACTACTGCCACGCTGGCTATTCTGGCTAGTTCTAGAAATAGGAACGTAGATACAGGACTCAAAGGGCCTCCTGTGTCCTGGAGCCCAGCCGTTATTATAGGGAGTCACATCATCTCGTCCCATTCATAAATGTATCAAGCACCATCTGAAATCTACTTAGGCTGTTTGCCTTCCACTACTCCTCTAGGGAGGCCGTTCCAGAACTTTACTCTTCTGGTGGATAGAAACCACCTTCTAATTTACAACCTAAAATCTTTTCTTCTTGGGTCTTGCTGGATTATTGGCCTGAACGTTATCCTGTGGCGGGGAGTTCCGCAGTCTAATTTTGCCTTGTGTGAAGGAGGATTTCCTTTTGCTGGTTTTGAATGCTGGGTAGTGGCGTAGAGTGCAAGGACACAAGTGATGTCCCTCTGACATTCCCCATCATAAGACCATTTCCAACTCCCCCCCTCCAGCCCCCTAGCACAGGTTCAACTTTGACGAGTGATATCAATACCCGCCTTTTGTCCTTGTGCTCCGGGTGGTCCAACGTCCCCCTGAAACAGAGAAAGAAGAAAGTTCAGCCTCTAGGACTCATTGCTGGTTTCTGTCCTCTTCTTCATCTCCACCCTTCTGTGTTTCTCTCCTTTTTCAGCCCCTGCAGCAGTGCATGAGTTTCAAATACCTCCCCGCTGTCACCCAGCTATTTACAAAGGGCCGATTTGGGTGGGCCCTATCCCCCACCTATTCGGTGTCTCCTGCAACAGTTTGCTAAGTCCAGCTGCTCAGAAACTCCAGGTCCAGCCTGAGTCTGACAAACGAGGCTGTGTCTACACTGGGTTTTGCTGCCAAACACCTTTCTCCTGGTAGCTTCGTTCCACCACAGTAACCACAGGGGAAACCAAGGTTCGCACCACTATCACTGTTTTAATCATTGAGACATCCCATGCTAATGAGCAAACATCGTGATAAAAATGTTGGTGGCCACTGACCCTTTCTCTGAGCCATTACAGCTGGTGGGAAAAAAGCAGGAACATTTTGACAATAATGGAAAAAACATATTTCAATGGTTGGCAGAGATTTGAATGCAGGGCTGTATCTCCCATGATGCACCATGGTCTCCCCTTCTGGAGACAGGAAGTAGTACATTGTGGGAGCCTCTGGCCGTGGTGCTTTATGGAAAATGTAGTCCCTCCTGGCAGTCCAACCCCAGAAGAGAATGGGGTCATGAGGCAAGGAAAACTCCCATGAGGCAATGTGGCAGCATGCTCATTTTGAAATATTTCGGATTCGGCCAACATGTTTAGATTTTCTCACCGAAAAATTTAGAAAATTTCCTCTGAGAGCAGATAAACGTTGCTCAGAGAGGTCTAGCACGAGTATATCTATGTGAGGTGGGAACTCCACCCTGATCTTCGTGTATGGATAGAATCATAGAATCATAGAATAATAGGACTGGAAGGGACCTCGAGAGGTCATCGAGTCCAGCCCCCCGCCCTCAAGGCAGGATCAAGCTCCGTCTACACCATCCCTGACAGATGTCTATCTAACCTGTTCTTAAATATCTCCAGAGAGGGAGATTCCACCACCTCCCTTGGCAATTTATTCCAATATTTGACCACCCTGACAGTTAGGAATGTTTTCCTAATGTCCAATCTAAACCTCCCCTGCTGCACTTTAAGCCCATTACTCCATGTCCTGTCCTCAGAAACCAAGAGGAACAAATTTTCTCCTTCCTCCTTGTGACACCCTTTTAGATATTTGAAAACCACTATCATGTCCCCCCTTAATCTTCTTTTTTCCAAACTAAACAAGCCCAGTTCATGAAGCCTGGCTTCATAGGTCATGTTCTCTAGACCTTTAATCATTCTTGTCGCTCTTCTCTGTACCCTTTCCAATTTCTCCACATCTTTCTTGAAATGTGGCGCCCAGAACTGGACACAGTACTCCAGCTGAGGCCTAACTAGCGCAGAGTAGAGCGGCAGAATGACTTCACGAGTTTTGCTTACAACACACCTGTTAATACAACCTAGAATCATATTTGCTTTTTTTGCAACAGCATCACACTGTTGACTCATATTCAACTTGTGGTCCACTATGATGGAACACAACTTAAAATACACTGATCTAGTCGGCCCTCCTAGCTAGAGAAGGCCAGATTTTGGGGTTTGGTTCAATTCCAGAATAACTACATCTGGAGCATTGAAGGAAAAAGGGAAGGACGGAGGTTACCTGTTGCACATGTACAAATCAGGCTACAAAGACTTAACATACCTTTCCTCCTTCTGCTCCCTTACGGCCAGGTGTGCCCGGAATGCCAATCCCTGCCTCACCCTGCAAAGCAAGCACAGCCAAAGTGAAGGTGAGACTCCCAAGGCAGAAGAGAGAGACCCCCACACACACAAAAAGGAGAGACTGTAACTGAAATCATTCCTATCTCCAGTGGCCCCTCTGAACTCCCGCTGGGGGCCAGCAATTTAGAGCAGGACCATTCTCTCTGGAGAGGTGCCCAGTGGCGTCACCTCGGCATTACAGGGGTGTGTTTATAAGGTCCGCCTCAATTGCTTGGAAGGGGAGACGAGTTAAGAAAAGGACTATGGAGGGTTCCGCTGAGATTTGAAAGAGGATGGGGAATAAAGGAGGCAGGGACACCGAAAGAGACCATCCCACAGGAGAGAAGAAGGCCCTGGTTGCCAAACAATGCAGATATCCAGGGAGGAGATGGCTTGGAGGAACAGGGAAGGCTGGCGAGACAGACAATGTCTGGTCTGTCCCAGGATATTGGCTGCAGCAAGTCGATGGAGCAAGGGGAGATGTGACAATGCATCTCCATCCTCCTCACACCTGGTACGTCCTACCATAATGGTGACT